TCTTTAAAGGATAAATGAAAACTGTTTTGATTAAACCAGCCTGAAATAATCGTATACAGGCTATCTAAGTGTGGAAATAAATATTTCCTCGGGGTGATACGGAGAGAAAAATGGCGATTTATGATGCAATCGTCAGATGTCGGTTATTTCTATACTACAGCACGTACTTTAATTTTAAAGTCTACCTGCTATTTTTTTATTTGTAGTTGCCTTTTACTTTTTGATCGACCGAAGGCAAAGGTAGGTTTCACATGCCGTTGGGTTATGAGATTAGCACTATTTAACTATTACTACTGAACCATTATTAACAGTGGAATGGTAAAATCTGGCTTGTGGACATCAACGCCAGGAAAAATGGATTGACTGCAACGACTCGAGTGCAAATTGGATGGATAGCAGGATTAATGAACCGCTTATGATCAAATAACTCTGTGTGTGCCAATAATTAAATTCTCTAAGGGTTCCGTGGCTCTGCGTCCTCTATGGAATACGATGATGGAATTATTATATTTTTTTATTATAATTATTATTATTATAACGTTAATTTTCAAAAAAAAAAATTGAAGATAGTACGGCCTAGATCCTTTTTGTTAAGTAACTAAGACGGGCTTACTTACGTTTTTCTTCGCAGTCTCTTCCGGATGGTGAAAAACCACGATATTGGGAGGCTTATGGTTCTATTGCACTGGTTGCAACTTTAGTTTTCTCCATCGTGGCGCTCATGGTAGGAGAAACTGTATCCAGCTTATATGTCATCAATAATTGTTTTAAATTAAGAGATCCAGAAAAAGACCCCTTAAAACATCAAGTCCCTTATCCCCCCCTCTCCTCCAAAGTAATATCTGGCACACAAGTTTAGTGGCACAGTGGTAGCATAGTAGCTTATCCAAGTTTCCTTGGAAATAGGCAGCTAGCAAGAAGAAAGGGCCCCCCCCCCCTCCCAAATAATGTCTCGTAAACAAGCCTAAGATTTCCTCGGGGGTGGGGAGGGACATCGTAAGAGTACAGTGACTTGACAAGAACTCAACAAAGAGAGCCCTGCCAGTGTACTGAGACCTTTGGATCGGAGTCGAGCTCCTCAATCATCAGCCCACCGCGCCTTCTTCATGAGATAATTTTGGATGTTAGTTCTGGAATAGGCGCGGAGTTTTGGTTGCTGTACGTTGATGGTCGATCGCTATTTTAGTAGTTCTATTAAGGGTGTGAATAGGTTTTTTAAACTTAGAGAATGCTTTAGAGATCGAAGGAAAGGATGAAAATTAAACTTCATGTAACCCACAGTCGAATTGTTAGAATCACAAAGAGCTGCATGCTCTTTCCCCTCTATCTAAACGGCGTGTTTAAGGTGACTGACCTATCATTGCGATGACATCGGACCTCTTGCTACGATTCATCTTTACACTGCATGTTATCTGTTATGAACATTGCCGCATACTCTTTAGGAAAATCTACATTTCAGCATCTCAAAGTTAATCTATTTGTTTTACAGGTGGTGTATTTTTTAGCGGTCAGAACCTACAGAAAAGCTGTCCTACATTCGGGTTAGTATTTGTGTTTAACAAAGAAAAGCAAAACTATTCTGAGAAGCAGCAAAACATTTCTCACTCACAGATAATGCAATTATTTTAATTGGAATGTACAATGTACAAATGATTGAAAGCACACGGTACGAAATTCAATTTTTAACGTTTGCCAAAAACCCAGTGCTTGATTTCTCCAATGGGAATGGGAATGAAGAATTAAAAATAACATGAATCGTTAATGCTACCACCCAGTTTGGAAAACAAGGCAAATAGTATGCGCGCCGACTTCTGTGAGTTTCGTTTGTGGAGACTTTGCTACTTTCCCTCATTGCCTTCACCGCCTTCGTACAGCGGAATGGGTGCGCAAGGTTGTGGATGCGTTGTGTAACAGTCACGTATTGGTTTAACGGACCCATCCGGTATCACAAAGAAGAGCGCCACCTTTGTCCAAAGAAATGCCCACCCGCTACCCGCTAGGAAGTTGTTGGAGAAATAATACATCACCTTTGAGAAGGGGGGGGGGGGGGGGGGGGGGAGGGAACGTCAGTAGATGGAACCGAGCATGTATTATATTCTTTGACGACTTTGCACTTTGTGTTTTGTTTTTCAGGAGTATTGACAAACCTAGAGCGGGTCAGCATTGACGCTATTCGTAACAAAGTCTTTCTTTACGTATTGGTGTTCTTGGTATGCTGGAGCCCGGGTAAGATATTTCTAACGTTTTAGTTTTGACATTAAATGCTAACTACTGACAAACAAGATACTGCGAAAAGTCGTACGCCAGCACCTGGATGAATGAGGTCTGTTGACAAGCAAGTGAAGCACTTTAGTATTTAATCATTTTGTCACGATTGACTCAGAATTAAGGCTTGATGTCCGTCGTTTCCTCGACCCAGTCTTCAATCCTCCTTTAGTCGGGGGGAGATGTGCGGGTTCGTTTTCCGATCAGCGGCTGATAATCGACCCTAATTTGAAGTTGGATTCGTCAACTTTCATCTCCTATTTTGTTTGTTATTATTTTCAGCACTTGTGGTAGCAGCTTGTGACATCGCACCTAGAGTAACTATCACTAACCTGCAGCATTGGTACCTCATGTTCTTCTTTCAAGTAAGTGTTGACACTATTTTGGGCTTCGTTCTCTAGTTGATCCCTCTGGCTTTATTATAATTGCGCCGGATTTTGAATTGGGAAGGGTGTGTGTTCGAGTCCTCACCAACAAGGCTCTCTCTTTTATATTCTGGGCAAGGAACCTTTGCATTTCCTCTCTCCACTCAGGAATAGGAATGGGTACCAGTGAATTGTCTAACTGCGCAGCCGGTGCCGGAATAAAAATGAGAGCACCGTTTTTTAGGAGCACAGAATAATTTACGTCAACAAAGTTGAAGTAAAGAAAGCAGGCGACTCGATTTTATTGGTGGAGTAGAAAGACAGTGTATCGCAGACTCTCTAACCGTGCTTGGAACTGACTGAGTTTGGATCTTTCATTGCAAATGTTAGTTATTGGTATATCCACACAGTCAAATCAGTTGAATAAAGCTTTTTGCGCGCTCTGATTGGCTAGTTCGGGAGTGATTGGCAAGTACTATAGACCTTCGTGCAGCGAAAGGGACAAATTCGCGCATGAAAAGTTTAATTTCCGACCATTTGTTTGTAAATTGAGAGTAATAAACAATTTGTTTGGTTCTTGTGTGGTATAAATAATTATCAACCCTCGTGTCCGTGAAAGTGGCGGATATTGACACACTTCGACACACTTTGGGGGAATAATTTTGAACTATGCCGGATGCTAGTCGCCTATGAACCTAGTTTATGGCCTAGCTTACTAAAGAGTTTTCTACGGCTCAATAATTGAAGCTTCCCGGCGCAAAATCGTAGCAAGCTAGGGTCTGTTCCTCAAGGGGTTGCCAGAATTTTCTTTGCTCGACGCTCGTGACAAACTTAAAATATCATAATCTTGATATATCTGTCTTACATAAAATTCCTTGTGGTATTGACGTCTTTTCTTTTGCGTTTTGTTATTAACAGGGTTTCACTGCACCTATGCAAGGCTTTTTCAACTGTATAGTCTATGGCTGGGCCAGAAAAAACTTCCGTGAAGCTTCAGAACAGCGAAGAAATATACTGCTGGAAAGTGAAGACAAATTCCGGTTTTCTGGATCTCGACGGACCTCATATGGATCACTTCGTTCGATGACAAGTCGTTGAGAGCAATTCGGAGAGAATAGCAAAGGGGTGGTGTGGAAGGGGGGTCCTGATCCCGTTTTACGCACAAATTTTTTCAAAAACTTTCACCCGTCGTGAATATTTCATGAACCGTGTGATGGAAAAAGAGTGTCAGTAGAACAAATAAAAAAAAAAGCGAAGCTTAAGGCTTAACAAGCCAAGGCTTGTTAAAGTAGATCTTTGAGGAATAGTGTAAAATTACGAAAATTATTTATTTAAAGCCATTTAGATTTTCTGTTCGCAGAAGAAGAAAACTATTTGACGACAAGTACCTAAGTCCTGTTAAGGGACGTGTTAAGTCTTGACCGAGAGACTCAGCAACTTATTCCATTTAAAGTTATTTTCATCCACGTTTTCAGCTGGTTCCCAAACTTAAGATAATTTTGGTTCATAGATGAACAAAACGAGTGTTATAATTAGTTTAATATAATATTTTAAGATATATTTGTCGATATTTTAAGTTCTCTACAACAAAGATGAGTGTACTGTATATATAAATAATGAATAGATGTTTATGCAGGCTATCTCTTTGCAGTGACGTAAGTTTGCAGCATTTTTGTAATGTCATGTTATTTCCGTCGCCATTTGGACAGTAAATGAAAAAATAATTGTATTTTAACTTTTTTTTGCTGCTGTTATTGTATTTCTTTGACAAATCGTATTTCTAGTGCGTCAAAATCCGACAGTTTTATTTTCCTAAGCGAGGAGTGAATATTTCTTGTTTGGCTTGTCTTGAAAATTCGGTGTCAAACTGACTTCTTGTGATGGGGAGAGTCATAGCCGCGTTTTGATTGGTTCTTTACTCATGATTCATTGGAGGACAGACGTATAGATGACGTCATCATAACCAACACTTTGCTTTTTTATCACATCAAGTAATTAGATTCCTTGTTGCCGTGGGTCTGTACAGTGATGGATCACAGGCACACTTTTGGCTGCGCTTCGGCAACATGGAATCTATTTGTTTGTAGACAACTTCCCCTGACTTAAGTGGCCAAGCAGAACCAAACATAACATAGCCAATAGGAACTCAAACAAAAAAGAAGCAAGCCGCTTGAAGCGTAGGAGAAAGGTTGTCAGGGTCCTGAATCAATTTCAGTTCTCTGGGTCAATGTCTTGAGTAGGCTCTCTTGCCTCACCCAATGTCCTGGATACAACTGCTAGATTCCAATTTCTAGATAACGAAAGTCAGAGATTAAAAAAATTCCAAGTGAGTGTAGAGAGGACAATCTATTGTGTTCAGTATTATTGGTCAGCAGTGAAACAAAATGGCGGCCACCGTGCGGTAATACCGAACTATCTCAATCTGTCGTGTTTATTCGTTCTTGTCGGGCGAAGAGGCGAATGATTTCTCCTTCTTTTACCGTCACTGCCCCGGGAAAGATAATCCTTCACGGAGAACATGCAGTTGTCTATGGAAAGGTAGTTATTTTTAGCTTTTCGCCTTTGAATAAGCGCGTTTTGAATGGGTTTGTTTACAATACTCTATAGGAGGGAATTATTGGTTGCTATCTCCACCTTTTTAGAAAGCCGTTGCAGCAGCTATCGATTTGAGGACAACACTCAAATTGGAAGCAACCAACGACGGTCAGTTTACGCTAAAGTTGCTAAACTTTGGGACAACGTGCAGGTGGAAAGGAGAAGAGCTACAACAAGATGTGGAAAAACTTGGTAAGGTCTCAGTGTAGAGTGAACTGTATACTTTTATAGGATGTCTGGAAATCTAAGTTCATGCTTGTCAAACTTGCAATCCCCTTCCAGGGGCTCTGTGAATTTTGCCATTTTCAGCTAGAAACCACTGGAGTGGGGCTGTTGGAGATGATACAGGG